AAAGTGCAGAGGTAGCTGATTCTTCTATATCTCGCTTCTGTTTTCTGCTGTGTTGCCTTCATTATAGGGTAGATTTTTCCATATGGTTGAGAAAGATAATTATCAGCTGTTCCAGCTTTATAAGATTTTTGGTGTTCACTAGTTCAGAGAGACATTTTTCTTCTACCACTTCATGCCTATGCTTTAAGGCAAGACTGGCCCCAGAGATGAAGTGCTATGATTGGTCAGGCCATTCTTGGCCTGGTCACATGCACATCCCCGAGATAAGAGCCCTGTGGGAGCTAGATACTAGTATTATTGGTTCCTGTTAAGGAAAAGGAGTTAAGTTGTCTGAGAATGGACTCTTAAAAATCCTGAGCCTTTATTTCTCTCTAACTGATCTAATCTTTCTTTATTTTGAGCTTTGATCTTCCTTGATACCATCAATATCTCTCTCTACAGTCAAATGGACAGGTTTTTGAGAGCAACGACTTTCTTCATCTTTACATACCCAACGTTTAGCATTCTATATAATTAAGTACTACACAAGTACCACAGACTTCAGAGAAAGTGCCACAGATTTCAGAGAAAAGGAATATCTATAACGGTCAGGCTAGGTGTTCTGGGGAAGTTGGGACTTGAACACTGAAGAACAGATATATCTTAATTGGGTCAAGAAAAGAAACTTTCCAGTAGAGGTAAATGTTGAGCACAAAGCCATGAATAGGCTTAAATAAGAATAGTGTCTTCATGGATCAGTGAGGGAACTGGCCTGCTTAAAATGAGAGATTTTGTTGGGAAATGAAGTTGAGGTCAAATTATAGAAGGCATTCTAATTTGAAAAAGAAAAATATAATCTTAATTTCTTTTAAATTATATGAGTACCATGATGAAATAGATATAAAAAAGGTCAGTACTGCTATAAAATGGAATAGGAAGAAAATAAGATAGGTCAAAGGGTTGTTCTCCATATGTTATAATAATCCAGGTGCAAAATGATCTGGATTATTAACTATTATTATTAACTATTATTAACTATTTTTTGAGCACTTCTCATTCATTCATTTATTCATTAACTGAGATATCTGTTGAGTTTCTATCATGTGTCAGGCACTGTGCTAGGTGCTGGGAATATAATGGTGAGCAAAATAGGAGTAAAATTAAAGAATCATGTGACAAAAAGGATAGAATAATGAGGAGTAAATTAAAATTTAAAATCCTACTTAATAGGATTTTCAAAGTAAGTAGATATATTTGAGGGAGGCAGAGTTGCAACAAAAACAGAATCAAAGAAACATAAACAGTAAAACAATGGATGAGTCAGATTAACATTAAATGGTGTCTACAAGATATACAAAAAAAAAAAAAAGCTGAGTATTTTGCACTTGCCTAATATGGTTTGCACACACTTAGAAGGAAACCCACTAGCATTAGGATTATTGTCAAGAAAGGAGAGCAGAGTTGTCAAACAACTACCCATATTTTATGGTCTTGGTAATTCAAGGAAGTGATGAAGGTATAAATCTAATTATCCCAACACGGGAAATCAAATGAGGAAACAAAGAAGGAGTTTTTGTTTTAATATTAAAGTGCAAATTTCATAATGCATAATTGAAAATCCTGGCACACTTTAAACCTATTGTTTTTCCCACTGACCTGATTGCCATTCATGTAGATAAATTTGTATTAGCAGATTCACATTGCTTTATTTTTTCTTCTATGACTGTTTTTCTTATAAGGAATTGCTTGTGAATTGAATTGAGATTATAGCCATTATGACAAACTACTGTTATAACCTACTTATTGTGGCTGCCAAAGTTTTTGTGAGTGTTGAGGGGAGGGAAGGGTAGAGGGGTTGGGCCTGTTCCTACGGAATATAGTGGATCAGATAGATATTTGTATGATAATTATACAAATAATGTAGAATTATAACCATATTAAAGGCTATGAAAGATAAGTACATGAACTTTGAGAGTTTATAATGGGCATTGCTGAGGCTATGATAATTGAGTTGATATTTGAAGAATGAGTAGGAGGTTATCAAATGAAGAAGGATAGATTATTAAATCCAGATTGATGGCAAAGCATGTAAATGTAAATATTTAGATAATTTTCAAATAATAGGATAGAACCGGAAATAGAGATTTGGGAGTTAAGCGCAGAAGTGAGAATTGAAGCTATTATGGATGAATAATCCAAAGAAAAAAGTACAAAGAAGGATAGAATTAAAGAAAAAGCTTTGATAAGAGCCCATAGTTGGTGATGATGAGAGAAAAAGAAGTAGAAGCCAAAATCAGAGGGGCAGGTAGGAGAGGTGGAAGAACTAGAAGAGAGTAGTGTCTTGGAAATCAGGGTTGCAGAGAATTTTAATGGGACCAAATATGGAGGAGAGATAGAAAGAAAAAAAAAGAGGGGGGAATAAAATGGAGAAAAGACCATTAAATTTGGAGTAAAAGTATCTTATTATCTGAGAAACCAGTTAAATATAAGGGGATAGCAGTTGAGTTAAAAAAGTCAATGAGGAAAGGAGTGAAGAGGAATTGTACGTAGGAGACATGCTTTCTGTTGGATAAATCTAGCAGTAAAAAAAAAAAAGGAATATAGTGCAATTAGAATGGGCAGTAGGTTTAAATTTCTTCTGATTCTGATTTGCATATTTAGAGCAAGAGGGGAAGGTGCTGATAATGGGTAATGAGAGATTTTTTATGGAAGTACCTTCCCAGAAAATGGTTGTTAGGATAAATGTTTACCTGAGTCACTATTTTATAATTTTTCAAATGGAGTACGATATTTCTATGGGGGGATACAGATGGAAGAATAAAATTTATTGTTTAAAACTCTTCAGTAGATGGAATATCTTCATTTTTGTTGCTTTTCCAGGAGGGATTTTTGGAATGAGAGAGGTAGTGCCAGGGTTGGTAGAACTCAGGTATATTTTTGTGAGAGTAATTAAGATATACATAGATGTGAATTTAAATGCAAATAAATTGATTTTCAGGTCTCGTTAAGCTGATGTTTTTAAATTTCCACAAATTTTCATAAGAAAATCCACTGTTAAATTGAAGTGGATCAACCCTTTTGACCTATTAAATTTTCTTGACAGTCATAGCAATGTAATGCCAGCAAAACTAAATGATAACTTTAGCCTTCATATTCATTCTCTCATGCTTTCCTTAATAGGCGTAGTTAATAAATATGTTACAATTAATATAAGAATAAAGCTGTTAAATCTCTTACATTGTAAAACTTACATTAGCTTTGATGGCTTACAATCATTAACCCTAACTAATAAGCAACATGAAATTACAATAAAATTGGTTATGCATATATTATCTGAGGCACTAAGCAAGAAAAAACTTCTGAAAGTTTCTTTTTTTGTCTTAATATCCTGTGAAACAACTTAGGTTGTGGTAAATTGAAGCAATTACTTAAATCATTCAGTATTAGCAAAATTTTCACTAGAAATATACCCATAATTAAGGCAATTTGGGATATTGTTTGTTTAAATTATTTTTCTCTATTCTTTCAGTTTGGATATGCAAAGTCTAAGTATAAATGATCTAAAGACAGCATTTCGGACAGGAAGTGTTACTGTGCATTGTATTTCAAACAAATGACTTTCTCAAAATATTGAGTAAAATGTATTTGAAATCTTATACTTGCTTTCCAAGAAGTTTTGAAAAATGCTGAATGCCAAATTGAATTTCGATGATTGATTCGAGTATTTTTCACGGTCATGTTAAAATTAATATCAATTTTATTTCTGTTCTCCAAAATATTTTTAGACTTTTCTGTTACAAGAGGAATGAATAGTCTTAAAAACAACAACACTTGTATTCAAGAAAAACCGGAGAGTCTCTGACAGGTTCCCTACTCCTCCTTTTGGGGCTCCTTTCTGACTCCAGCACCCACTTCGGGGGGTTCAAGGTACTTGGTTTGCGCTTGGCTCCGGCAGGACGGAGCGATGCCGCCATCCTAGTCTCGCGGGGACTTGGATCTCGTTCTTTCAGCGGGATCTGCCACTCAGTCCCGGGCTTCGCGGGCAGGGCGGGGCGCGGCGGGGCGCGACCGAAGCGTGGCCAAAGCGTGGCTCTGGCGAGTTCAGAGTACGGTTTGTTTTCGTGTCCCCTGAGCTTGACCCTGAGTGGGATCTGGGACCCAGAGGAGAAGGGAGTGGACGTTCGGGTCCCAGAAGCCGTGTGTGGCGGTTAGTCCCTGAGCAGGCGGCTCTGAGGCGCTCGGAGGGCTGGCAGGCCTTGTCTCCGGAGTACGGAGTACGGCCGGAGGTCGCGTTCTGCGGGCTTCCCGGCTCGTGGCCTCGTCCTCGGCCACAGTGCCGCGCTCAGCCGTGAGCACCGCCGCATGGTTAGAGTGTTGGGGACGGACTCGTGTGAGGGGAAGCGAGTAGGCTGTGAGCGTAAGGCCTCGAGCCGCCAGGACTAGCGAACTTCCTGCTTCAAAACGCGCGGGAAGGACCACTCCAAGCTGTGGGTACCGAGAGATACGAAGCCCGCCTCAGGGGTATTTTGTAAAGTGACTTGGCAGGCCTGTGAAAACCTCCACCTTTTGGTGGTTAATTCGTAGGTGTAAAACCGCACTGTGCCCGTAGGTTTTACCTCGCTGTTGGTGAATGGCTTTCTTTAGGAATCTTGCTACTCATAGTAGTACACACGCGGAGAAAAGACATATTTGGAGATATTTATTTTAAAGGGTGTATCTTTTTGAGAAATCTGGATGTCTGTGGACTCCAGAATATTCAGTGACTTATTTCAATACCACATATAAACATTACGAAGGCTCCTCCAGAAATTTGTCATGCAGCAGCAGCAACGTTCAGCATGTATTTATTAAAGTCTCTACTAGACTGAAAAAGGGTCTCTGGCCTGCCCAGTTCTTGCTCCACCCACATTTTCTGTAATAATGCTATGTTAACAAGGTTGTTACTGAATATATGCTGTTTTGCGTATGACCTCAGAATACTCTTTATTATAATTTTTTTTTTTTAAAAGACAGTATCCAAGATGGATGACAGCCTATTTGTCAGTTTGGACAGACTTTTGCTAGAATTTGGTAGGTATAAAATGAAAACAAAGAAATAGGTAACTATTTGTATTATTATTTGATATTTTAACAATGAAGTGAAGTCACAAAAGAATTATTTATTTTAGTTTTCCAGTATAAGCAAGATATACGTAGTAAAGAAGATATGATTCAACGAATAAATAGTAAGTAGTTTTGCATGATAAAAACATTTTAGTTTTTAATTTTTTTATGGCATTTAAGGTAATATGCAGTTGCTTTGCTTAGGGTAACTTATAGTTGGCATTATAATTTTTGTGCCTGTTGTATTTAGTGACAATAATGAGCTATTTACCCTAACTACAATTTTTCAGTAATAAAATGCTGTATTCAGAATTTGATTTGTTTTGAAGAATTTTACTGTAAGCTGAAATGACCCCTTAACTAAGAGAAGTTGAAAATGTTATTTTCCTCAAATAACACAGGTTATTTCAAACATTTGAGTGAATTTTTTTATCTTTTTAAAAATCACCAAAAGTCAGGAGCCAGGATTGATGGATGCCATGCTTTCAGGAATCATAATACTGAAAAATAATATTTTGAGTGAAATGACAAAGCAAATTACATAAATACAGTATTTTAAGATTCTATATAAAAACTACCAAAAGAAAATTGAACCATTAAGTTCTTAATAGTTCTTAAAAGGTAGAATTTGGTTATCTTTTGTGCAACAAAAAGGAATACAGAGTATTAAGAATTTATTTTAATCTTTTAAAGAAATTGTATTTTATGTGTATATTATATTTAGTCTTTAGTAACAGAAGTGAAAGTGCACTTACTAATGGACATGGAATTGATGAAGATAAATTTCACTTTTGTCAACAACAAAACTCATATTAGTGTCGATCGTATGAGTAAATATTTACATGAACTCATAGTATCATTTGGTACCATTGATCTTAGATATCACTTAATCTAGCCCTTTTATGTTAAAAGGGACATTTATTTCTCTTAAAACCCAAACACAAATTCTTAGCTTCTGATTCTATGAGCAAGCCTGGCTCTGGTTCTATGCTTCTTAGTATAGAGCCCTTCCCATCTCAAGCCTCATTTTCTCTCCATTTTCTGGTTCTCCTCCTTTTAGGTAAGTTGCCATACTGCTTTTTCCTACTGTATTTGTTTATTTTAATTCATGATTCCTACTTTAAGAAAATAATTATTTTCTCTTTCCAGAAACCTTTGAAGATGTTAAACAATACAAAGCAACTATTTGTAAGATACATGAAACTATAAATACAACAGAGGAGGAAATTGGTCATTACCGCAAACATAGTAAGGAAATCAATAACAGCTGTAGTAAGTGAGTATTTGAAAGAAGAGAACTTTCAATAATTGCCACTAGATTCTTTTATTCAAGGTTTCTGAGTTTATAGTTGAAGACTGCTGTTTTAAAGTATTTTTTATTAATACAATGATGAATTAGGTCTTATATTATCTCGTTATATGCCACTGTAAACTGGAATCATAGGGTCAAAAGAAAAATAGAAGTGCTATAAGAGCTCTCTAATTCACATCCAATTAGTGTAAATACAGAATTTTAAATAATCTAGGCTCAGTATATAAAATTCCTATTACATGAATAAATTTGAAGTAATTTCCATCTTTGGAAATTATCATGAAATTAGTAGCTTTTTGAAATAAAAATATTCAGTATGTTAAGAATTCTTTCACCATGGCTTCAGGTTTTGGATTCCAGTAGTTTAATCCATTAAAAGACATATTTTGAAATAAAAATTTGTTAATGAAACTTTATTGTCTATTACAAAAAACAAAAATAAAATGTGTTAACTTTCTGTATTTAATTTTATGTGGACCATTGTCTTTGTATTAAGTACTATACTTTAGAATAATATTTGTTTTGAAATATTTTGTTACTTGAAATTTTGACAAGCCTTTTAGGTTTTTACCCCATTACTTTTTTATACTGTTTTCCAAATTTTATCAAAGTAACACATACTTAGTATAAAAATTCAAAACTTATACAGATGTATGGAGTAAAAAGTTTTTCCCAGCCCACAGTCCCCACCCCTATCCTGTCCTCTTTTAGAATCTGAAAAAAAAGATTAAGAAAGAGCTAGAGGGAATATATGGACAATACTTAGAATGGAAGCTGCCATAGTATATGCTAAGTTTAGATTTTTCACATTGGTAACATTTTTCAAGTTATCTAATAAAACAAAAAAAATATAATATGACTTTATACTTACCATCTTATTTTATAATTTATTTTGACTTAGTTTCTTCATAGATCAGAAATGTATAACAAATTGACTTTCTGAGTTTCAAAGGAGAAAAAAGCCTCTTTTTAGCTCTTATCCTAGTTCTTTGAATGTTCACTCCAAAAGAATTTCTTAGCCAAGATCTTAGAAGTATGATGAGAAAGAAAGCCTGATGTTGTAGTGTTGCAGAGTATACACTAGAAATGCTGTAGCAATACACAGTCCAACTATGCCACATTTACTTCTTCCTTAGTCATGGTACTAAAATAGGTTTTATGTAAAAATTAACAGATACTGACATTTGAGCATATGTATGATTGCATGAAGGATGGTAATGGTGGTTGGTGATTGTAGATCAGAATATTTTTCTTGATGTAAGCTTGTTTTCTCCAGGAAGAGAAGATTTTGCTTTATCTTTAAATGGTTGCATTCATTTTTATGATCTCTTACAGTTTGTTTATCCTTCTGAAATACTAATTATAATATTTTTTTCCATAGCTGGAAGCCAACATGTGATGTTTTTCGTAAACATGAAGACTATATGCAGGAGCAGTTTATTATTTATCAAGAAACTATTGAAAAAGACAAGTATAGTACATATATTAATTTAAGCTTATCAATTCTATAAGTTAATATTAATAGGATCTGCTTTGTTAAACTGTCAATTGAAAAATGTAGGAATTTTGTACGCCGGGGAGGTTTTGTTTTGTTTTGTTTTAAAGTAAAACCAGTGTTTTGGACTCAGGCAAGTATGGATGCTCTCTTATCCCTAGGTAGATGTATCTTGTTAAGTAGGATAGTGCTGGGACAGTGGTCTGCTTCAGGTTCCACAATTGTATTCTCAGTCAGTAAGCCTATTAACCAAGTGTTTAGACAGGTGCAACCCCTGCCAGGTCCCTGGGAGGGCTCCTGCTTGGTCACTGGATGAGTCTGTGGGTGGTTAGGACTGGCCCTGGCTTGGAGGGACTGGAACTGAGCCTCAGGGCTGTTTCAGGTTTTTCCGCCAAGATCGAGGTCTGCAGTCCTGGCTCTGGACTGCTCCCTGACTGCAGCTGGAGGGGCTGGAGCCAAGTGTAGGGCTCTTTCAAGAACTCCGAGGGTGCATATGGAAGTATCTCCTAGGTCCCTCGGCTGGTAGATCTGCTAGTGGTCTTCCACTGTGAGGTGGCTAGACCCAGATATAGGGCCCTTCAAGATCAATGGGAGTGTAGATGAAGTGTCTCCTACTGAGACCTTGGATTCTCAATACTGCTAACAAACTTTGGCTTTGAGGGAGCTGAAGCCAAATACAGGCCCTTTAAGGATCTTTAGAGGCACAGACAGGAGTCTTTATTGCTGGATCCCTGTGCCATCAGGACTCTGGTAACTGTAGTTGTAATGGAGTGGAACCCAGTTACAGTACTCTTTCAGAATCCACAGTCTGACTGAGTTTTGCGGGCTTAGCCCCAGGGGCTTTTGGACTATGGCCACGAGGAACTGGAGGCAGTTCAGGGTCCACAGCTGGGACGGGTCTGTATGCCTATTAGTTGATGACTCCTGTGTGTACCTTGGTGTGTTGGTGATGGTGACAGACCCAAAGCCAAATGGGAATGTAGCTGAATTCTCAGGAGTATGGAATTGTTTCTAGGTCCGTAGCTAGGACTATAGTCAGCAAGTAGCCACCAGGATGTGAGCATGCCTCTCACAATGGCTCTCCTCAGTCTTGGACTACACCAGGGTTTCATAGTCTCCTAGCTGGATCCCAAAACTCCCACAAAAGCACTTTTTTTCCATGATGGATGCCAAATTATTGTTGGGAGAGGGAGTGATATGTGTGAGGGATGTTTTATTCTGCCAATTTGCCGACATCACTCTTATTTTATATTTTAATTAAAACATACAGTGTAGAGTGTAATGTCCTTTATATTCAAAGATGGGTGTTAAAGAAGACCCAATCTCCATCTCTTTGGACATTCAAGGTATAGATTGCCATTGGCATTTGAAATCATGGAAATAGATGAGATTTCTCAGGGAAATGTAGAGAACAAAATGAAGAGAAAGCTAGAATACATGATCATTCAAGGAATAGGCAGAAAGTGGAATTAGTGAACAAGACCCTGCTTCAGTCCAAAAAGGGTTTGAGATAATTTGTGTAAATAATACCAAAATGTTAAAAGAAAGCTGGATTCAAAGATCAAGACTTCAGGGAAGTAAGGATAATATAGGAAGATGAAGCCTTTGATCTGGATAGAAATTCATACTACGTGGTCTTACATATTTGTTAGATATAGGCACAAATTAGGCTTTGAAATTCCTAGTAGTAAAGGCATTGTGGAAATGTGATCAGTTTGGAATTCAGAATATTCATTTAAAAAACAGTCATTTGTTTAGGATAAGCAGAGATTTTTCTGGGTACTGAGAATTAAGAGATTTTCCCCTGGATTCTCATGAAGTGGAATCCCTCACACATATCACTCAAATTGTGCAATATGGTAATCAGTATCTTTAGAGTTCTCCCCTAAATAAACACAACATATATTATTGTTTTTTTAAAATATCTCCTAATATAAACTTTGGCTATAAAAATTATTAAAATGATTCTGTGATCAGAAGTACAATGGATCATAAGAAAATACAATGAGCAATTATATGCCAAAAAGCTGGACAATCTGGAAGAAAAGGACACATTCCTAGAAACATACAATCTTCCAAGACTGAGTCAAGAAGAAACAGAAAATCTGAACTGACCAGTTACCACCAATGAAATCAAATCAGTAATCAAAAAAGCTCCCATAAAACAAAAGTCCTGGACCAGAGGGCTTCATAGGCAAATTTTACCAAACATTCAAAGAAGAATTATCACCTATTCTCAAACTATTCCAAAAAATTCAAGAAGACGCAAGGCTCCCTAACTCTTTTTATGAGGCCACCATTACCTTGATTCCAAAACCAGGTAAAGACATTACAAAAAGGAAAACTATAGGCCAATACCTCTTATGAACATTGATGCAAAAATCCTTAAAATATTAGCAAACTGAATTCAGCAATACATTAAAAATTCATATACCATGATCAAGTTGGATTTATTCCTGGGATGCAAGATTCAATATCTGCAAATCAATTAATGTGATACCACAAATTAACAAATCAAAAGATAAAAACCATATGATCATATCAATAGATGCAGAAAAAGTGTTTGCCAAAATCCAGCATCCATTTATGAGAAAAACTCTCAGCAAAGTGGGAACAAAGGGACCATACCTCAACATGATAAAGGCCATAATGTGACAAACCTACGGCTAACATAATGGGGAAAGGCTAAAAGCATTTTCCTTAAGATCAGGAACAAGATAAGGATGTCCACTTTGACCACTCCTCTTCAACATTGTATTAGAAGTTTAGCCACAGCATTAAGACAAGAAAGAGAAATAAAAGGCATCCAAATTAGGAAGAAGTATAACTCATCATTTGCCGATGACATGATACTATATGTAGATAACCTTAAAGATTCCACCAAAAAACTTATAACTGTTCAATGAATTCAGTAAAGTAGCAGGTTAAAAAATAAATATTCAGAGGTCAGTGGCATTTTTATACACCAATGATGAACTTTCAGAAAGATATTAAGAAAACCTCATTTATAGTTGTGTCGAAAACTATAAAATACCTGGAACTCAAATTAACCAGGAAGGTAGAAGACCTGTTTTCAGAAAATTGTGTCATTGAAAAGAAATTGAAGCAGATAGATAAATGGAAGCATATACCATGCTCATGGGTAGGAAGAATCAACATTGTTAAAATGGCCATACTACCCAAAGCAATCTATAGATTCAATGCAATCTCTATCAAAATACGAATGGCATTTTTCAGAGAGCTAGAACAAATAATCCTAAAATATATATGGAGCCATAAAAAACGTCAAATAGCCATGGCAATCTTCAGAAGAACAAAGTTGGAGGTATCACACTACCTGATATCAAACTATACAACAAGGCTACAGTAATCGAAACAGCATGGTGCTAATGTAAAAACAAATTGATCAATGGAACAGAATAGAGAGCCGAGAAATAAATCTACGCTTATCTGCTCAATATATGACAAAGGAGGTAAGAATATACAATGGGGTAAAGACAATCTCTTCAATAAATGGTATTGGGAAAATTGGACAGATACATGCAAAAAAAAAAGCTGAACCACCTTCTTACACTGTATACAAGACTCAAAATGGATTAAAGACTTAAATGTAAGACTTGAAACTATAAAACTTCTAGAAGAAAACATAAGCAGTAAACTCTCTTGATATTACTAACAGGAATTTCTTTTCAGATATATCTCCTTGGGCAAGGGAAACAAAAGAAAAAATAAACGGGACTATGTCAAACTAAAAAGTTTTTGAACAGCAAAGGAAATCAACAAAACAAAAAGACAGCTGACTGGGAGAAAATATTCGCTAATGATACATCTGATAAGGGATTAATATCCAAAATATATAAAGAACTTATACAATTCAACAACAACAAAACAATCCAATTAAAAAATGGGCAGGAGACCTGAACAGATACTTCTCCAAAGAGGAAATGCAGATGGCTAATAGACATATGAAAAGATGTGCAAGGTCGCTAACCATCAGAGAAATGCAGATTAAAACCACAATGAGATATCACCTCACACCTGTCAGAATGGCTATCAATAAATAATAAAACAGCAAGTGTTGGCAATGATGTGGAGAAAAGAGAACTCTCATATGTTGGTGGGACTGCACATTGGTACAACCACTATGGAAAACAGTAAAAACAATAATTTGTAAAGATCTATGCACTCCAATATTTGTGGCAGCACAATTTACAATAGCCAAGATATGGAAGCAACCTAAATGCCCATCAACAGACGATAGGATATAGAAGTTATGGTTCGTATATACAATGGAATATTACTCAGCCATTAAAAAAAATGAAATCCTACCATTAGCAATGATATGAATGGACCTAGAGGTTATTATGCTGAGTGAAATAAGTCAGACAGAGAAAAATAACTACCATATGATTTCACTTTTATGCGGAATCTAAGGAACAAAAAGAAACTAATCAAAAACAGACTTAAAAACATAGTGGACAAATTGTGATGGACAGAGGGGCGGGGTGTTGAGGACTGGGAGAATGCGGTGAAGGGTTAAAGAAGTACAAATTAGTAGTTGATAGTTGGTCATGGGGATGGTGAGCCTGGCAGAGGGAATGCAGTTAGCATTAATATGGTGACTAGGTGGAGGGCCAGGGGAGGGAGAGAACAACTGGGGGGATCGTTTTATGAACTATATAGATGTCTAACCATTGTACTGTATACTTGAAACTAAATAAATAATTTTAAAAAATTTGATTCTGTGAGGGGCTAATGTAAACCAGTCCGAATATAAATCTTTTTGTTAGTGCTTGTTGTAGATGACTTCTCGTCGCTCGCCAGAGGTGTTAAAGTGAAAATAGCTATCTCTTTCTTAAACCAGTCACATGGGTTGATTGATTTGATGACTCAATACCAGGCATTTATAAAAAGAAAAGAGTCTATTTGTTGGTATCATGGATAATGAAGGAAGTAGAGGAACCAGCTCTTTGTTTCTCTCCCATCCCTGCCCCAGGCATTCATGAAGACTAGTATTGTGGCAACAGATGAGATAGTAATGACTCTCCTTGAATCATGACTTGGTTCTGCTGGGCTCTGCCAGAGTTACTGTACAGAGTATGTTAGAAGAGTGAGCATGAATATGTAATATGAACAGTATAGATGTTGTATGCTAATCTCATCCGAAACTGGTGACTCAGACTCAGTTTTCTTATAAGTATTTCCCTTCTCCCTGGACAATTTCCCTAAGTGAGGGCTTAATTAGCAAATATGCATTTAGAGAAATAGAAGCTTGTTTGGGGTTCAACTGCTTTATCTTATTAAAAGAGACAGTTTAGTAATATTAAGAAATTAAAACACTTAAGGTTCAGACATATTACCCAGTACAAGGCTGTTATCCTTACTTCTTATTATAAAGCAGTTTCTGAATACTCTTTCTTTTCTCATCTGCTAAAGTGAAATAATCATTATAGTACCTTTTAAAAAATTTCTCCATATAGTATGGCTTGATTTAGAAAACAAAAAATTAAGGATTATATATTTTTAGAAAAATTTCTATGAATATTACTTGAAACTATTTGATAAGAATTGGATAAGAGGAACCAAGAATATATTTCCTATAATGAACCTGGATTGAACGTTTTCAGTACTGTAGGTCAGGACTGATAAACTTTTTTGTAAAGGGCAAGATAGTAAATATTTTAGGCTTTGTGGGCTATACAGTCTCTGTTGCAACTACTCAACTCATCTGTTGGGATGTAAGAGCAACTTTAGACAATATGAAAAGGAATGACTGCATACCTATAAAACTTTATTTGTGGACATTACAGTTGAAAAGTGAGAGTTAAGGAAAATTTGCAGCGCAGGCAGTATTGAGGGAACCAAGGATAAGTAGATACTTGACTTGCCTGTTGTGCTTAATTTAGTAGACTTTAACAAGTGATATTTAGAAAGCTTTTAGACATACTCTTGTTACAATGACATAATTTCTTTTAACAGAAAAATGTACCATGGTTATGTATGTCAATATAAAGATGTTTTGAAGCAGTACCAAATAAAATTCTCAGAAGCACCCCTTTCACTTGAATATTACCAGAAGAAAAGAGAACATGAAGAAATTCAAAACAGAGTGTTGGCATGTACTGAACAACTGAAAATGAATGAATCTATTTTTATAGAATTTCTAGGTATTAATATCTTTATTATATATATTTTAATTATGATATCTTCATAATGAAAAGAATATAATAACTAAGTCAAAAATATGACTTTGTTTTTCAGTGCCTGCTCCCTTTCCATCACTTACTAAATGGACATTACATATGTATCCACAATAGTATTTCTACTTAGAATTTTTATTATATAAGTATTATTTCTCTATTTTAATTGTTATATGTTTCCCTGGTGAGAATCACATAGATTCATTTTTGTTTAATTTAGAAATTTTAGAGGTCATCTGGGATTAGTTTTCATATGTTCATGTGATCAGAAGCAGACAATTTTAATGAAGATAAAGTGTTACATATATCTGGCTTTAAATGGCATATCTTAGCAACCAAACCAATGAAAAAGTCATCTTCTCTGTTTTACCAAAAAAAGAGTTCCAGTTAAGTCAATTTATTATTACTTGTTAGGATGCAAGGTGGTAAGGAGTCACAATTATTTATTCATCTATAGAAATTGATGACCTATCTTGTGCCAAGCAATACTCAAGAAGATACAGAGCTTTCTTGCAAGGATCTTTTAGTAGAGGAGACAGACATGTAAGCAAATTCTAATACAATGGCATTGTATTAGATGCTTAAGTAATTCTTAATTGGTCCAAGTCTCATTTGTTTGTAAAGGAAATCTTCCCTGATGATGAACTTGGAACTTTAGTCCTCTTCCAACCTCCGTAATCCTTCATATGCTTTCCTATCAGATTATATCAGACAATATTAAAAGGAATGACTGCATTCCAATAAAACTTTATTTGTGGACATTACAGTTGAAAAGTGTGATAAGAGTTAAGGAAAATTTGAAGGACAGACAGTATTGAGGGAACCAAGGATAAGCAGATATTTGATTTGCCTGTTATGCTTAATTTAGTAGACTTTAACAAGTGATATTTAGAAAGCTTTTAGATATACTCTTGTTATAATGACATAATTTCTTTTAACAGAAAAATGTACCATGGTTATGTATGTCAATATAAATATATTTTTTATCTCTGCATTTTACCTTGCTTCATTATGCTTCATCCTAAATTATCCTTTTAACTCCTTTGCTGCTTGTTCTCTCTATGTTTGGGTTTTAGCTTATTCTGTTGTTGTTCATTTGCTACCCATCTGTGTTTTAACTTCTCAATGGGGAGGGGCAGAGGTAGATGCAGAATGTACAGCAGGGGTTTAGGGAGTTGAATGTAGGATGGGATGAGATGTAGGATTGCATTGCAAACAAAAAGAAGTGATAGAGGCAGGGAGAACTGAAGATTAAGATTGAATTGTCTATATCTACAAATTTAAATTGATGCTTTTGATAACAACATAACATTATAAGTAATGTTCATGTGAAATTTTATGCTCTAGCATATAAATCATGTATTTTTAAGCAGAATGAGAAAGGTCTGACAGATTTTCTCTGGAGTTCTTGTTCACTACCTCTATCTTATTAAATTCTCCTAAATGGATTGTAGAGTAATTTAGGAAATTGTGGTAGCTAATAACCATGCAAGATATATGTTAACAGCTGAAAAAATTCTCTACTTGCGATTGAGTATAAATTCAGTTCAAGCAGAAAGTTCAGATAGAAGATCTAGCTCTCTTCTGAGTTCTGCATGGTACACTGATGAACCTTACAGAGCAAGAAAAGGGTGCATTTTAAATTTTGACTTTGAGAACGAATAAATTATGGAAACACAAAAAGTTAAATTTAGACCTGAATCAGTTATGTATTATTATTAGTCATGCCAAATGACATGATGAACTTGGGTACAAAAACAAAAGCAAAATACTACCCTGTAAAAATATTTAACTGAAAGAAAAAACTAATATTTTGGATGAAATGTTGTTTTTAAGCTCAGTATATAACATAGATAAACAAATTATCTTTGTTTGCTACATGGTTTTATTAGTTTTACCTCTGTTTTCAGATGCTGTTATTAATATTTCTTATTGCTTATGTGGAACATATAAATAATGTTACATGATTAATTATTTCTGATATAGTACATATATTATAAATATAAAATTTGCTCACATAAATAGTTCCTTAACAGATAAGGGTTTGTTTGAGATGTAAAACACAAGATATTCTTAAACATGCCAGAAATTTTTCTAAAATTTCATGTGAATTGAAGAAAGAAGTAGATGAAGTGGAAATAGAAATTAATTGTTTAAACCAGGTATGTATTTCATTATGTTTCTAATATATATATTTATATATAAGTGTAATGGTATGTTAGTTGACAGTCTTAGAAGAGCTATTTCTAAAGAGCCTAAATATGGACAAAGGCTTATGATAATTCGTTTGCCTCAGATTGCCTTGGAGCCAAAATGTGTATTAGGTATTGAGTATAGTTAACTCTGAGTTTTGGGTACTAACTTAACTTTCTTTGGGGACTGAGGAGAGAAGATGAAAGAACAAGATATAGCTTAATAACAGGCATTTAAAGAGCTACAATACTGTTCTCAAAAAAGAACAAGACAGTAAATGGTTTAAGGAACTTAATTTTGAAAAATTATGACTATAATCTTTATAGACCTAGGTTAGAACTAGTTTAGCCTTTAAAATTGATGATGCATGATATTTTCTTTTTAAAAAATTTTATTTATTTAAATTAATTTCAAGTATACAGTATATTGGTTAGACATCTATATAGTTTGTAAAACGATCCCCCCATTTGCTTCCTCCCTCCCCTGGCCCTCCAACTAGCCATCATATTAACGGCATTCCCTCTGCCGTGCTCCCCATCCCCGTGACCAACTATCAACTAATTTGTACTTTTTTAACCCTTCACCCCATTCTTCCATCCCCCAACCCCCCTCCCCTCTGTCTGTCACCAAATTGTCCGCTATATTTGTGTGATATTTTCTTGAACACATTTTTAGTGCCATCTATAGAAATGTAGATAGGTATGAAAACCCATCGAATTTAAAATATATCCAAATTTTGAGAAAAAAATGAATAGTTAATTTTCTAAAATTTTCTAAATTATCTGAAAATTGTGTTAAAGATGGTATAGTTATTTATAGATATGACATTCCAGATAACAGTAATATCATTTTAATAATTATATGAAAGTGGATTGACTTTCTTTAAAATATATGGTTACTATGTCTCTTTGTGGGGAATCAATATCTACTTTGTTTCTGACTGTCCTTTTTAAAAAAGGAGGGTAGAAGTTCATTGAAATCTAGATTTGCTAATGGAGGTGTAAAGCAGTATGATTTATTGTTAATTTGACTTGGTTTTAGCAACTTTCACTAAAAGCTAGCTAATAAAACCAAAAATATAAATTTTATGATTATATAGAAAACATATTTATTAGTTAAGATAAAGCATATATTTCTTAATGCTTTGCAGGTAATTATTTTCTGCTTCATCATTTTTCATTTTAGCAGATTGCAAGACTTTATGAAACTAAGAATCTTTCAGAAGCTCTGGAAGAAAACAATAAAAATATAGAGAACAGAAAGGAATTGAAAGAAAGGTATAGGTAAACTTTAAAATGTGATTTTGTGTATTCTTTCCCAAGCCACTAATAGTTACACAGTATCTATATACTTTTTTTTCTGTACAAGCTATTTTCTATTCATTTCTTATGAAAATATTAATTTATACTTTTAAATATTATAGACTAATATTCAAATCTTCTTGGGAGATTTGGGAGCAGCAATATTCTTACTTTTTTTTATCATCCTGTCACCAACTTGACCAGTTCTTTCTTTATCACAGAGACTGAAGATGAGCCAAAATGCTACTGAATCTGTGGCATTATGTTTCCTTGTTATTCATTCTAATGGTGATAAAATAGACATCAGTGGTGGAGGCATTTTTTTTAAAAGGTTGATTTTTGTCTGTTATTGTGTGACAGAAAAATAGGTGTATTAATGTTGCTGTTTCTGATAACCTTTCTACTTTTTCTCTTCTACCTTATACCCTTTTTCATTCTTCCTAAATTCCTCTCTTCAGGCTCTATTGCTCTTATCCTGATTTTTCACCACATTTCTATCGCACTTCCTTGGATCTGTTATTTTCTTGATTCTCCCACTCTCATGTCTCACATCCACAGTAATATGTTTTTAATTTTGTAATGAAATTGATTAGAAAAATAGGTAAATGTACAGAATTCCACGTTATTGACACATTTTTAATATTATAAAAATTATATTGAGAGGAACTTACATGACTAGTCATTTTTACTCTATATTTTGATAGTTATCAAATAATATCACTATTTAAGTTACTTAACTATCAGAAATTAAAGTTATTTCTTTAACTTAGGAAATACTCAATGAAATTATTCTTCCAGTGAAAAACTTGAAAGAACCGTTGGATTGTAATATTGTTTTAATAGTTTCTATATCATGCTAGTTGACTTGCTTCTAAGTAAATCTTTTTAAAGTTTGAAGTACTCCAAAATCTGGAGCATGCTATTGGTGGACAAAGTTTTGGTTTAAAATGTTTTTGGTGTGTTTAGAAAGTCTTTTAAAATAATTTTTTACATTTTAAAAATGAGAATGTGAAGAGCACTGGACTTAATCAGGAAAAGTTTGTTGTACCTGTGACACTAGAGAGTAATTTAATAATATTGGGCGGATCTGTTAAATCCTCTAGAACTCAGTTTTATTATCTGTGAAATGAGTTTTAACTATATAGTATCTAAATATCTCTTCTAGCTTTAATATATATTAACTTTTTTACTTAGCTAATATTTATTGTAATTCACTTCTCTCTTTAGAATTTTTGAAAAAGATGAACACCATATATTGAGTAAAATCTCTCAGAACAGTCAATTATTTCTTTCATATGAGCCTCTGAAATTAGTGAGACCAATAAGTATGCATTCTTCAGAACCAAGAGTTACAGGTACAGTATCTGTTTATCATTCAAGAAGTTTGTTTTCTTTGCAAACACATAGAAGAAATAGAAAGAAGCAGTTTTAGTTACAATTTGGTGTAACCAGGAACAATAGTAGAGACCCATAGACTTAAGAAAGTACCACTTTGATTTTTTCTGAGAGTAAATAAGATACGTACCTTTTATACCTAACTTTTTTTCTCTTTGAGAGAGAAGTCACTCACATTATTTAAAAAAAAAAGTTCTGGTCTGGTTGTATAGCTGTCAGAGGAGGATGAATAATTATATATTTTTCATTTGAAAAGTATTATCAATATGTCATTAAAGTGGGTAGCAAACTTGTGTTAATGGTATTTGTTACTTAGTTACTGAAATATTTGAATCATGTTTCATTTAATGGATCTGCAGATTAGATTAATGTCATTAGCTGTTTTTCTTCCCTGGTCATTAGTATCACCATTCTGTCTTCTTTGGTTCCCCATTATAAAGATGTAGTTCTGTCAGCTGGTTTTCATTTTCCATTCATAGTTATTGTAATAACTGTTATGTAGTGAGGAATTAAGAGTTATGTAATAATTTCATAAATCTATATTTTAATTTAAATTAAGTATTCATGTGACTTGATTTTTTTAAATGACGAGGTTAGGTTAAATGTTGGGCATGATATTTGGTTCTATCTCCGGAATTGATTTGAAGTTGAACAATTTAATAATCTAGATAAAAAAGAAGAAAGTTCTGTGAAGCAATCAAAGCTTGCCAATATTGACTTCAGACAAAAAGAAGATGCACAGGTAGATATTTCTTTTTTTAAAATATAAATTAAACGCTTGCTTTAAGTGAGATAGTGAATATATTGCATTTGGGACACAGTGTGTGTGTGTGAGAGAGAGAGAGAGAGAGAAAGAAAGAGAAAGAGAGAGAGAGAGAGAGAGAGAGAGAGAGAGAGAGAGAGAGAAAGAGAAATCAGCCATCAGTACAATCTCAGAGTCTAAAAAAAATCTTTAAAAAGTTTCAGCATGGCAGCCTGAGCATACACTGTAGCCTTCTTATATATTCCTAAAAATAACACAAAAGATATTTTAAAATACCAAACCCTGCACCCAGTAGACCAAAAACTGTGAGACATTTCTGTAGGAGGAAAACAGAATTGGATTGAAGAGGGAATTTGTGGCTCAGGACTTGCATAGTAGAATACTCTTACAAAAGATATAGTTCTGGGGACAACGGATAGGGTAATTGGTTGGGTTACTTCAGTGGGAATTAGTTAACACTTATTCATCTCATATTTATTTTGCCTTTGGCCAGGCATCAGCAATGGGATGATTGTCTCCAGGTGGAAGCAGTGAGTTTAGGAGCTTGGGTTAGAGAAAGAGATGGTACTCTGGGTGGTTCTTGATACTCATAAAAAATAAGGAGCATATCACCCCCAAAATTAGCTTCTGGTGTGGCACATCTCTCTTCCCCCATTCTTGAAAATAGTCCAGAGGGAAATTCTCATGAAAAATATAATTGCTTTCTATTATTCATAATTAATACACACAGACATAGGGGTAGTGGTGAAAGGTAATTGGTGAAGCTTATTCTAAATATGTATTAATAATAAAAATTTAAAAATCTGGTATTAAAATTCCAGATAATATCAATATGGGATGAAGGTAGAAAGTTAAATGAGAGAAATAAAAGTCTGCTCAAGTTCTTTTTGTGTTTGGGATGGAGGTAGGGAGAAGATACGAATACTGATTAACTCTGTGTATTGTGGGAAAGATGTAAATTTATGCACGTATATTAAACATTAAAGGGTAACCAACAGAAGAAATGGACTATAAGTTTTAAAACAGTAGAAGAAAAAAGATTAAATGAAGAAAACTTTGTCCAACAGAAGGCAGGAATGGGGGGAAAATAGCTAGAAATCTTTGTAAATAGAAAACAAATACAATGCAAAAATAGTTCTGAACAAATCAGTAATAATAAAGATGTGACATAAGTGCATCTTTGGAACATATAAACAAAATACAGCTGTATACTATTAGGAAAGCTGATTCTACTTGTCAAATGACAAAATAAAAGGATGGAAAATATATATCAAACAAAACCGAAGCAAATATAACAATGCCATATAAAATAGAGTTCAAGATAAAAACCAGTAGGGATAAATATAGTTCATGTTTTTTAAAAGAATGATTCACCAAGAAGTTATAACCACGATGCATCAAATTATACAGTTTCAAAATATATAAAGCAAAAATCAATAGAATTCGAAACATGCAATTGAATCCTTAGTTAAAATAGGATAACTATCAAAAAAGATACTGACTCTGAGTTTAGGGTTTGAGTTTGTCTATATGTGAAAGAATACAAAACCAAACCAATAAAATAATAGCATTTAAATAAGATAAACATTTATTTTTCTCTTGCGTGCCATAAAATTCTAAAGTAAGTGACTTGGGTTCACTTATTAGGGCTGATAGCACCATTTGTACAATTTCATTATTTCTCAGGCTCTCTCTAAACTTTCTTTTCCTGCTCTCCTTAAATGCTAAACTTTTGACTCAAGGTCAAATCATGGTCAGAAACTAACCAATGTAACTTTTCCATCATATCTGCCTTCCAGGCAGGAAAAAAGAAGGAGAGGAAGGCTAGCTGATTCAGTCCCATTTTAGAAGATCTTTCTTGGAAGCTCCTTAAACAATTTATTATGATCTTTTTTTGGCCAGAACTTAGTAATATGGCTACTTCCATCTGTGGAGAGGTTGAGAAATATAGGTGGTTTTGTTTTTGTTTTTGTTTTTAAAATCAGAACACAGAAGGAAAGTAGATTTTTAATAAGGTAGAAAACTAGCAGTTTCTGCCACAGGAATAAATCAAGTAGATAAAAAATAAGTAAGGATGTACAGGCTCTCAGTAACACGATTAGCAAACTTTGTGCCCAGCGCACAGAATTCAGTTAAATTTTCACAAAATTCAGTTTGCAGTATTCACAAAAATTATCATTTGCTAAAACAAAAAGGATATCTCAATCAATTCTAAAAAGTAGCTATCTTCACTTTTCCCAAGGAATGCTGTGATGGTTTAGCATTAGAAAAATCTATCAGTGTGAATCATTACATTAATAGATTAGTAAATTATTTTAAATAAAGATTTAAAATAGAAGATTTTTTTTAAAAAGTGTTAAGGAGACTGATACTACCAGATGTCAAAATGTTTTTTTTAAACTTTTATTATTGATATGTAATTCACATATCATAAAATTCATCATTTAAAAATGTACAATCTAGTGGTTTTTAGTATATCCACAAGATAGTGTAACCATTACCATTGTCTAATTCCAGAACATTTTTATCATCCCAAAATATTTTTAAACATTATCAAAATGCAGTAATTTTAGCAGTGTGGAACAAGAAAAGACAAACTGATCAGTAGACTACATCAAAATAAAAAACTATGATAAAAGATACTAATGAAATTAAAAGATGATGGAGTGGGAAGGTGATTGGTATTCAGAATGTCTAATATGTAAAGATACATCATAATTTTACAAATTAATAAACAAATAGAAATAGGCAAAAGATAAAAAAAAGCAGTTTACAGAATAGAGAAGACAAAGAGTCCCTAAACATAACAAGATGCTTGATCTCTGGAGTACAAGAAATGTAAATTAAACCAATGAGATACCTGGTTTCACCTATCAGATTTGCAGACATCAAAACGTCTGATAATGTCTAGTGAGGTCAACAACAGTGGGAGTATAATTTGATATATCTACTTTGGAGGGCTGGTTCACAGTTCTAATTAAAAATAAAAATGTATATACTAAGCACTTTCGCTTCTTGGCATCTATTCTAAACAAATACTTGTTAAAATACTTGTACCAGGAGGCACGTACAAACATGCCTTTAAAACATACATCAAAACAGTAACAACACTTGTTTTTTAAGAGGTAAGTATTCTTTAAGGGACAAGGTCTTTTTCTATGATCCAAAAGCACAATAAGATGACAAAATTAAGACCAGTAGTTGTTATAACAAAAATAAATGGGATAAACTTTTCTCTTAAATATATTTTTATTTTGGGTCAAATAAAAAGAATCAGGAACTCTTCAAAATGAGTGACTCAGGGAGAATGAAGTACTTGAAACAATACACAGTAAAGCAGTCTTTAAGATATTAAGCAAAATTTAGTTAAAATTAAAAATGAAATATTGCTCTTTCATATATAAAAAAGTTTCAAGCTTCAATCTTTTAAACTGCTGCTTTACTCTCTCTCTGTTCGATTTGAGATGTTATAGAAGATAGAGACACAGAAATCAGCTAATCCGTTGAGAAAATGGTAAGCTTCACTTGATTAGTCATGAATATAGGATAAAATTCTAAAAGGTTTACATTAACTGTAGAAATACTACTAAGCACAGTTACTATACTTGTCAAAAACATAAGATTCCTCGAGAGTCAAAACATTTTTGTTTCCCAGTATTTGATTGAATATTTTGTATGTAGTGGTTTCAGGTCATGTTTGTAGTTGATATTGAGAATAATGGTGATGATAAGGAGGAAGATGACAGTGCTCTTTGAGACCTCTGAGTAGCCATGGCAAGCCAAAAACTTCTGTTGTTTTGTGTTGCCAATTCTAATGCTTAGTTTCTTTTGTTCAGGTGTTTAATGACTCTGCTGTGAGTAACAATTCAAAATGTTCACATGTTATGGCTGTTAAAAGTTCACAAAATTTTCTGCCACTCAGGTAACTTTTAAAACTAAGAAAATGCTTTAATATCTGAAATAATTTATCAACTCAGCAAATAATGTAAAATTATATTTATTGTATTTTAGATTGTTAACTCCACAGAAACAATCAAATTGCAATATATGGTTTGAAAAAGGCAATACAGGTATTTGCTGTTTACATTTTCCCTAATAAGTGAATGTAACAAATTATATCAGGTTTTTATACTATTCAAATAAATTATTTGGATTGTTGCCTTTCTGGTTAATGGACCATGTATACCTGGTTTTTAAATACATTTTTTTGGTAAATATAAAACAAATAATTTCATTGTAAAAAATTCGGAAAACAGAGGAAAATATAAAAGATACAAAAATACCATACCGCCCAGACGTAACCAGTTCCATACATACTGGTGTATATTCTTGACTTTTTTCCTTTGCATATGTATGTTTTGTTCTTTTATATTTTTCCCACAGATTTGAAGCATACTATATATATAGTTTTGTATCCTTTTCTTCCCACTTGATAGACTGTGGAGGGTATTTTTCCATGTCATTAAGTAGATTTTATTTGTGATGACTGTATAATATGCCATTGTATGGATATATTATAATTTATTTAGCCATTCTCTCACACTGAATATTTTGTCGTTTCCAGTTTTTTTGCTGTTATAAATAATGCTACTACATTCTTTTATTTAAATCTTTTACTATCTTGGATTATTTTCTTTGAATGAAATCATTGGAAGCTCACAGAATATATATATTTATTATCCTAGAATCAATTAGCGTTGGAACTTAGATACACCTTTGAAAATACCAACTCTCTATGTGTATATATGTATATGTATACATGTATGTATGTATGAAGTATAGAATATATATACACACATATATTTTAATAACCCAGTAACAAATAACAATTATTCTACTCATATAAAAGTCTTCACCTCTTCTTGTCTATAGTCTCTATGACCATATGTTGAGACCATACCTAAATTATAATTGGAGTAGTATGTAGATTACTGATTCTTATTTCAATGTTTTAAAAATGGCTTATTCTGTCAGTATAAAAATTCTGTAAATATATGCATATTCAGTGTGGTCATATAATATACTGAGTCTGTTTCTTCTACTCTCAGTATAAGATTCAACCAATACAATATGCTTATTCCATGCAGATGGATATTCCTGCTTTCTTTTAGAGTAAAGAATTATAATCTGCACAGTTGATCTGTTCCATCTGTTTATAATCTTCTATATACATCAAGCTGACAGGATGTTAGACAAGAAAGGAATGGCTACTCTCTAGGAACAATACATCCCTAATACAGTTATGTGGGGAAATGCATATATCTGGTATATTCCTAGCTGCCATTGAGATATACAATGAGGCTTCATATTCAAAAAGGCATATAATTATCTCAGAAGAAAAAAAGATTCTCTTCAATACTATTCAAGCCTATCTTTTGAAGAAGTTAATATGTGTTGAAAATAATAGTTGTGACTTAAATATAAGAGGCAAATGGAAAAACATCTATTCAAGATAGGAAAAGATTTCTTAAATAAGAATTAAAAAGAAAGATCGGTAAATTTGGCTATGTTAAAATTAAGAATTTATGTTCATCAAAAGACACATAAAAAGAATGGAAGGCAAGGTGATATATTTTCAATACATTAAACTGTCAAAGGACTTGTCTCCAAAAAATGTATAAAGAACTACAAACCAAGAAAAAAGACAGACAGCCCAACTGGAAATTTGTGCAAAATATGAATAGGCGCTTCAAATAGAGAACTTTTGTGGCAGATAAACATATGAAAAGTTGTTTAGCAAATCAAGATACTGAAAAATAAGACCACAGTGGGATACTGTTACATGTCCACCAGATTAACAAAATTTGGAAAGTCTGACAATACTAAGTGTTGATGAGAATGTAGGACAATAGGACAACAGGAAGTCTCATAACCATTAATAAGAGCTGTCATTTATAAATGACCATATGTTGAGACCATACTTAAATTATAATTAGAACTAATAATTTTTTCTGGTGAAATGGAATTATTTCCTAGGGTAGCTTGGGAAGACCAATTGCCACAACAAAAATTGGTAAATAGTTTGGAAACTAAACATTAGAAAATAGTTTAACATCTGGTAAAATGGAAGATACACATAACCTATATGTTGTAATTCCACTCCTAGGTATATACCTGGAGAAATCCAAGTACATACATGCAAGTACATATGTAAAAGAATGTTTGTAACATTATTGTTTATAATAGCCTCAAAGCAGAAACACTTTAAATGCCCATTTGCAGTAGAATGGATAGATAGATATATATTGTGTTTGTACAATGGAATACTTTACATCAAAATAAGCATACTTTGCAGCAGTACAGAAGAATCTCACCAGCATATGCTAAACAAAAAAAGCAAGATAAAGAGCACATAAATTATTATTTCATATAACATTTTAAAAATAGGAAAAACAAACTGTTGCTTAGATGATAAAACTATATAAAGTGAATCAAGGAAATGATTTACTACAGAAGTTAGGATACTGTTTGCATCTATGGAAGAGGATATAAGGACAATAGGGCCTTTTGGAGTACTCATAATGTTCTGTTTCTTTTCCTGGGTGGTGGTTACATGGGTGTTCTTATAATTTTGCTTGTTAAATGGTTTACATAGGTTTTATTCTTATTTTTATGTGTTCAGTTGAATTATATGAAATTGCCTTTTTGTAGGTCAATAACAGTTAAATATTGACTAATATGTTTTATTTATAATTAAATTGCAAAAAGAAAAAATAGTTCTCATATAACAAACAGATGCTGAGTGTGCAGATAAAGAGACAGTAAGACAATTGAGAGAATCAAAATGTACTTCACAAGTAAGTCAAATGTTTGGTTTCTAATTTCTAAGCAAAATATTCCAGTTTAAAATATTCCATTTCTATTTTAACTTTAGGATTAGTATTATAAAGATTATTTATGTAAGGTCTAGATGTTATTAGTAATCAAGTTTCTGTGTAATCAAGTTGCTATAGTATTGCAGAATCTATCCCTTAGGGGAGTTTAGATTAAAAACTGAAGCTACAAAAAGTTTACGTAAAAAATACAAAAATAATTGCCATTAATAATTAACTGTATACTGACGCCACAAATAAATCATAACTGAAGAAACGTATTTTGTTTGGTGAGATTGAATAATTTCCCAAGGCAATTTTAGACCAGTGGTTATTACATAAATATCTTCAAAATAATTTTTAATAATGGAAAGCTTTAATGATGAAAGATGTAGACAATGTATACCAACTTTACTGTAGCTACTAAGGGTTAAAACAAGAGAAACAATGTAGTAGTATTCTGCTGTAAAGAAATACAGGTAAATTTAAATTTCTTTTGGTGGAGGGACCCAAACTGTTTCTGTAATGGGATTTGATATAAAAAACATTTGAGAAATCACATTCCTACTCTACAAAATAATATAAAAAAAAATTATTCAAGTTCTCAATCTTTCCAGAGATGTAGTATAATAAATTTATAAGGGTAAAAATTTGCAAAGAACATAACCAATGAGAGCAAAATTGCTTGCAAATAAAGTACTTCTCCGTTTCAAGGAGATATCATGTACAATTCTTGACCCAGAGCATGATGTAGAGATTTTACAAGAAAAATCATTTCTAACCATTTTTCTTCATCAATTTGAGTATGTTCTGGTTATCATTTACCTTATCAGATAGGGATAGGTGAGATGGAGCTGGGAAGAAGAAAAACTTTTGAAAACTAAAAATAATTTTTTCCATTTTTTGGACAGATACTTTTGTATCACTTTTACCAATTATTTTACTTGTTTTGCCTATAAAATGATGACATTATAGATTAATATGATGTTTTCCACCTCACACATTTTTATATATGTGAGTTTATTAATGAAATAACATTCATTTTTATAGTTTTGTTACTTTGAATTTTCAGGTTATACATGGAGAACATCTTGGGATGCCAATAGATAATAATGAAGAAGTGGAAGAAAGAGCTGAGAATTTTCCACGAACTCCTGAAATTCCTTTATTTTTAAGAACACCTGAAGCTGTGAAAACACCTGAATCTTTGGAGAAATTACTGTTCCCTAAAACCCCCTTGTTTGAAATGTAGGTTTTTAATAATTATAATTAAAGAATTTACTTATTGAGTCATAGAAGTAATTGATAGGAGTTGTAAACTGCCTAGCACCTTTAACTTTAAAAAGTTTTTATGGAACAATTCACATATACAAGGGGGAGAGAATAGTATAATGAACTTATGTACCTATAACCCTGTTTGGACAATAATTAACGTTTTGCCATTCTTATTTCATAGATCCTCTTTCTAATTTTTCCTGTAACATTTAACTGAAGATGGCATCAATCCTCGGTATTTATCTAGTGCAATAGTATATACATTTGAGATTTTCCAAAGGATAATAAAACCTATGGAAAAAAGTTAAATGCCAAGCTAAAAAGCTACTATCCCATGTGATAGATTGTAGATATTGTCGAATAATGTTCCAGCAGTCATTTTTCCTTATATTGTAGTGTCTAAAGCAAGAATTGCCATTCTGATAAGTAACCTCAGTAGGCATAAATTTCTCTAACATGATTATTTCACTTTGGAAACCATAGATTTGTAGTTTGCAGCCAAGAAAACAGTGCTGCATTTTAATCTTTTTGGTTAGTTCAGTCCATTCCTTAACACTGAACCCTGAGATTTCTCCAAAACATATATCAGACATTTCACTTCATCAGGAATCTCTCACCTGTGTCCTACTGCTATATTTGAAATTTCCAGTAAATTATATATATATGGATGTCATGCTGTTGATACAAACAGCATGTTCAAAGTAAAAATCATACCTGAGAAATGTAAAAAGGTGTGCAAATATACGCTAAAACCTCTTTTTATGGATGAGAAAATTGATTTAAAGTTAAGTGACTCATTAATGGTCATAGAGGTAGTTATGAAAGTTATGTTCAGACTTATATTTAACAAACTTAATAGCACTATGTCTAAGAATTTTATAAATATTGCTCATTTAAGGTTCACAACGACTTTATGAGATGTAAATACATTATTATCCTTATTTTATAGATGAGGAAACAGAATCACAGATGGTAGAACCTAGGCAGTTCTGCCTCCAGAATCCATGCTTTTTTTGCCACTGTGTTATATACTATTTTGTCTAATTTTATTTTTCTCAAAACATTTTATAGTTTAACACTCTTATGCAACAATCTGTAATGACTGGCTTCTCGTCCAGACTAAAATCTTATTACTGGCTTTCAAGATCTTGGGGACAATATAGCCTCAGGGTTAAGAGCTTGGACTTTAAATCTGGATTGCTTCATTCAAATCTTAACTCTGGCACTTAACATTCTTTTGAGCAAATCATTTAACCCTTCTGTGCTTCAAAATCCTCTTCTATAAAATGGAGGTCATAATGATGGTACCTATTTCATATGGTTATTGTGAGGAGTAAGTAAGTTAATGCTGATGGAAATACCTAGAATAGAGCCTGACAGTATATTCTCAGTAGGAATTGATTATTGTTATTTTATAATTGATTATTCTACTTTATTTAACATTATTCTACAACTAAAATTATCTTTTTTCTCCATAGGTGTCTGTCACTTCAATAATTACTTCCCTCTCTTCTCCTACTGTGCTAATTCTTATTTCTATGCCATTTCTTATGTTGCTTTCCAGTCTGCAATATTTAATAATGTATTTTTAGCATTTTGGTGATTTCGTGTTTCTCCATAACAGAAATAGACATACAGTGCCTGAAGGTCAAACACAAAAGGAATCCCCTGGGTTTTCTTTTCTAATGAGTTATACTGCTAGATCACCTGGATTGAATTTATTTGATTCTTCTATATTTGATTCAGAAATGTCATCATCAGAGCAGGTAATATGAGAAGCTAAAGTTTTATTTCTTAAAAAATTGTACACTGGAACCTTAAGTAATTTTAATTCTTTAGTACCAGCCTATCTTGGGGCAGAGACAATTTTTAAAGATTCTTAGTATTGATAGTATAACAAAATTCCGCTATTATATTTTTGTTTTCAACTTCAGGTGCGCCAAATTGACATCTATTTATTAAAAAAAAATAAATTGTTTAAATTGCAGTTAAAGGCAGTTTAAAAATTAATTTGGCTTTATCGTTCATGTGTCTAACTTCTAAACAAATTTCCTATATTCTTAGTGTTAAAATTCTCCAGGTTATTAGTTGGTCCTTTCATCTATATGTCTGTACATAGCAACATTATCATCAGTTAATTTTGAAAGACCTAAAGACTTTCCTTCTAATAGTGATTTCTACTGTTCAGAGATAGAAATCATGATAAAGTGCTGTTTTCTATATTTAGCAATTGAAACTGAAAAATAAGACATGTTTTATTTGACCAATAGAGACAGCATAGTATAGTGGTTAAGATTAGACTCTGAAACCAGACTACTTGGGTATCTACTAGATATGGGATTTTGGGTGCCTAACTTTCTGTTTTTTTTTCTGTTAACTGGAAATAATAATTTTTACCATAGGCTTTGTCACTGTTAAATGAGTTTATATACATAGAGCACTTAGAAAAATTTTAACCAATTAATAATTCCATATAAGTAGCAATGTAATACAAATGTATAGTTATTACTCATTTAAATTAATCACATTTAGTCAATTTTATATGGATTAGAATATTTTATTCCTACATCCCACATATTATATAAATTATGGAAATTATAAATTTATTGATGGATGATAGAGTACTATATATTTTATAGTATTTTATATCTTCAGCTTCGTCTCAATTTTTATCTGAATGCTTATTTCAAAAACAGCTAATTCCTAGAAGGTGTGTACTGGCCATGAAAAAATAGACTACAGTTAGTTAATTCTTACTTATATCTGTCACATAAATGTGAAATACATGTATGTAACCTTAGCAGGAAACATGTACATTCGATAAAGAAAACAAAAATATTGAAAAAAATAATCAAATATATAAAAAGATATATGAAGTGCCTGTAGGAAGAAAATATTGTAAATATATATTTCTTCCCCAAGTGATTTATAAATGAAATCTAATTCAAAACTTGGAGTCCTGGCAAGCTGGTTTATCTTTAATTTTGTGTTTTGTTTTGATTTTATAGTGGTGGGGTTAGGAAGGAGATTGGCAAGTTACTAATTTTCCTGGTCAAGAATAATCAAGAAAATGTTCAAAGATAATATTGGTAATAAATTAAAATGGAATTCTAAGAAACCATGTAACCCAAAATAAGATAGAGAAGGAACAGTGTAAAAAGACACATAGGGAACAAACAGAAAACAAGTAGTAAAATATTCCATGAAAATATGAGATTCTAAAATAATTATATTCACTATAAATGGGCTAAATGCTCTATTAAAGGGCAGAGAATGCTAGAATGGATAAAAAGTATGACCCAACTATTAGTTATTTATAAGAGAGACACTTTAAAGACAAAGACAGGTCAAAAGTAAATGGATGGAAAAAGATATTTCATGAAAACTGTAATTATAAGAAGGTCACAGTGGTTATACTAATATCTGAGGTAGTATTCGAGACAATTTTGATAGCGATAAAGAGGGACATTTCTTTGGGATAAAACTGTCAATTCTTAAGGAAGGAATAACAATGGCAAATGTGTATATGCCTAATAACAGCTTCAAAATACAGAAACAAAAATTGACAGAATTAAAGGGAGAAATAGACAAAAACACCAACTTAGTTGGAGATTTTTAATACTTTAAATCTTTCTCAGCAATTGATAGAATTAGATAACACGATCAACGAAGATCTTTTATAAAATCTGAACAACACTATTGACTTCCTTGACCTAACTTACATTTATAGAACACCACATCCAACAACTGTAGGATATTCTTTTTTTACATTATTATTTTTTTAATTAATATTTTTATGGTGACATTGGTTAATGAAATCTACATTTTAACAGTAAATATATATATATATTTACACTGTGTGTTCGCCTCCCATAGTTAGATTTCTTTCTGTCACCACATATTTGACCCCCTTTACCCCATCTCCTTCCCCCCTTCCCTAACCCTGTACCCTCTGGTAACCACTGATCTATGGTCCATGTCCATGAGTCTCTGTTTGTCCTATTCATGTATTGCTTTTAGGTTTATATCCCACATATAAGTGATATCATGTGATTTTCAGCTTTTTCTGTCTGGGTTATTTCTCTTTGCAAAATCTCTTGGTAAAACACATTTCCTTATTAATTATTGAAAAAATATAAATCTATGTATAACAGTATTCAGGTATGCTTTATATTAGAAAAAAGAATAAAAACAATCGAAATTTCCAAAGTAAAAGAATGAAACTGTATGGTGTGTCAATATGGAGGAATATTACAATGTCATAAAAAGAATCAGGTTTTCGAAGAATAGTGACATAGAAAAATGCTTCTACTGCCATATTGAGGGTAAAAAAGAGGGCAGAAAACTATGTTGTCATGATCCCATTTTTTAAGGCCTGTTTTACAGAGAAAATAAACTCTTTGGCAGCAAAACTTAATCTGAAGTGACATGAAGCTGTCATACTTCCTATTACTTTTATATGCAGGAAAACAATACCAAGAACCTGATTTGTAAAGCCTTCAGAAAAAAGCAAAAATTAATTAGAATTTTAGGTTATATTAAGATTCCAAAGTAGGAACTATCTTTAGCACAATATATGTTGCCTACTAATATTTTATCAATTGCCAGAATCAAATCAATAAGTCTTATTTTAATATAAGTAAATGATAGGTTTCGAAGATAGATTTTTTTTAAGTGCAATAGTACACTATGTTGAATGTTGCCATTTTGTCTACTCTAATTATGCTTATTAGAAGAATCAGGCTTTAGATTCAAATATAAATGCTATATATACCGTTCTGATTTCATGAGTAATATTTAATAAAAATTATTTTTCAGTTTAGTGAAAATTATTCTACAGGAAATTTAAATCCTCTCTCATCACAAGAAATTGGTAAGTGATTTGAAATTTGCTACATATAAAAACATGTTAACTTCCCGCTTTGCATTTAATTTGTCTCTAACTGATTTTCTTAGGCACTCAGTTTGTTTTTTAAGATTACTGTTTCTTCTGCTCCACTACGTCTTTTCTCACTACTCTACCAAATTTCCTTTCTCCATTATTATTAATGACTTACCAATTATCAAACATTATGGGTATTTATTATATTTAGTTTTTTTGCACCATTTGATATTCTTTACTCTTCCCATCTTTCTGCAGTTTTGGATATCCTCCTATATCTCTAGAGTTTACTTTTTATTGGAGCTTCTATCTTCTTTTGTCTCGTGACTAATTTACTTGACATATACATAGAAACATATATGTATATATGTAGTATATTTTATTTCAGGTACTGCTCTTGGCTCTGGTGATATGAAAGTAAAGTTCTCATAGGGTTTATGTTCTAGTGGGAGAGACTGAAAATAGACAAATGATTGTATGTCAGGTAGTGCAATAAATAATAGTTGATATGGGTTTGAACTGGCAATCAGACTCATACCATTTTTAATCTAATCTTAGGTTTACTCAGCTTTGTAGAAAGGTACAGGATAGGAGATAACAGCAGGTATAGCATCTTTATCTCATTGAGATGTAGAATTAAGAGAAAGAAACAGGATGATGCCAAGATTTTGACATGAATAACTAAGAATGGAATTGCCGCTTATTGAAATGTGGAAGGTTATAGAAGTTATATTGAAATTGACAGGAGCTAAGAGTTCAGTTTTGGAAGTGTTATCATTGAAAAGTCTATTAGATATTTAAATGAAAGTAAAATAGGAGATTGTTTATATGAATCTAGAATTTGTTGGAGGTGGAGACATAAATTTTGGAATTTTCATAAATGGTATTTACTGCGATGAGACCAGAAACAAATCACCAATTGTAGACATTCTTTAAATGCCTGCCATCTGAAATATTCACTCTATATTCTCTCCTTTGCCACCCTTGTTCATTTGACACTCAGTAACTTTAGTACTTTCAAATATCATAATACAGATGATGACCAAATTTATATTTACCCTCCCTAACTTTTCTTAAACTCTAAGATCTTATTATTTCTTTTGGTCATTTTCTCCCAGTTTTATTGACATACATCACTATAAGTTTAAAGTATACAGCAAAATTATTTGACTTACATATATTGTAAAATGATTAGCATAATCATTTATATGTAAAATCATTAGCATAATCATTTAATATAACCTAAAATTCTAATTAATTTTTCCTTTTTTATTTTTTTAGATTCCATATATAAATGAGATCATATAGTATTTTTCTTTTTCTGACTTATTTCACTTAGCATAATATCTTCAAGGTTGTTGTAATAACAGGATTTCTCAGCTTTTTAATGGCTGAATAATATCCCAGTGCACATGTGTGCATGTGTACCACAACTTCTGCATCTATTCATCCATCAATAAACACTTAGATTGCTTCCATGTTTTGGCTATTGTAAATAATGCTGCTATGAACGTGGGAGTGCAGATATCTTTTTGAGTTAGTTTTTATTTCCTTTGGATATATGCTCATAAGTGGAATTGCTGGATCATATGATAATTCTATTTTTAATTCTTTGAGGATCTTCTGTACTGTTTTCCATAGTGGCTGTACCAGTTTACAGTCCCACCAACAGTGCACAAAGGTTCTCTTTTCTCCAAATCCTCACCAGCATTTATTATTTTTTGTCCTTTTGATGAAGGCCATTTTAACAAGTGCAAGGTGCTGTCTTATTGTGGTCTTGATATTCATTTCCCTTGTGACTAGTGATGTTGAGAATCCTTTCATATACTGATTGGCCATTCATACATCTTCTTTGGAAAAATGTCTATTTAAGTTGTTTGCCCATTTTTAATTGGGTCATTATTTTTTTGCTATTCAGTTTATGAGTTATATATATTTCAGATATGAACCCTTTGTCAGATATATATGGTTTGTAAATATTTTTTCAATTCTGTAGATTGTCTTTTCACTTTGTTGATTTTTTTTTTTTTTTTTTGCTGTGCAGAGGCTTTTTAGTTTGATTTAGACCCATTTGTTTACTTTTTATTTTGTTACTTGTTTACATGTCATATCTAAAAATTCGTCGCCAAGACCCATGTCAAGGAGCTTTTTCTCATGTTTTTTCCTAGGAGTTTCATAGTTTCAGGCTTTACATTTAAGTCTTTAGTCCATTTCAAGTTAATTTGTATGTGTGTAAAATGGAGGTCTAGTTTCATTCTTTTACATGTGAATATCTAGTTTTTCTCAGCACCATTTATTGAAGAGACTCTTTACTTCATTGAGTATTTTTGGCTTTCTTGTAAAAATGTTAGTTGATCATATATGCTTAAATTTATTTCTGGGCTCTTGATTCTGTTGCATTGATTTATTTGGTAAAACTTACCAGTGAAGCTATCTGGTAGGACCTTATTTTCGATTGTTATTGATATCTCTTTATATTTAAGACATCTGTTGACTTAAAAACTGGCATATCTGAAATCAAACTTGTTCTCTTTCTGACATACCTAATGGTATCTTCATTATTCTGCTTACCAAGACTCAGAACATTAGTAATAATTTTAATTTCTGTCTGTGTCTGTGTCTGACTACATTCAGCTTGTAATCAAGTTTTATCAGTTCTCTCTCTGAAATATTTATTTCTTTTCTATTTTCATTGAAATCATTATATTTCAAACTCTTATTAACATTCACTTGGGCTATTTCAGTAACATCATAATTGGTCTTTTCATCCTTTTAGTTTATCTATAGATCATAGTCCAGTTAATCTTCCTTATGCATACTGTGACCATCTTACCTTTAGTGGCTCCCCATAGAGTATCAAATTACATGCTCCTATCTTTCTAATCTAGCTCTGACATACCTTAAAAGCCTTTTTTCTTATAAGAATAATCTGTGCTTGGGCCAGAATGAAGACCTCATTGCAACCCAAATATGCCCACAATTTCTTTTACACTATTTTCTTCCTAAAATTCTCAGCTTCATTTCTTTCCAACCATTTTTTCAAGACCACATTTTCTTACATAAAACCTATTATTTTTCCTTTCAAACTTCTATTCCTAATATATACCTCCTTCACTTTTCTGAATGTCTCTTTTTTTAAATACTTTTTTACATTCTACCATCTGTCATTATTTACGATTACATATAAAATCTCTTCTAATCACAGGTTATTTGAAGGCAGGCACTTCGTTTTATTCACCTTTGAATTCTCCACAGCACCTACACTACTGCCTTGCACAGTAATCTATTATTTTATTTACAATGAGCATCAGTTTAATGAAGACTTCATATGAACTTTTTTTCTGAAATTAAAAAAATCAAATTCATTTATTCAATGGGAAATTAAAAATTTTAGGTTTTTTCTGGACTATAGCTATATTACAGCTATATTCCTTTAAGTCTTCTAGATGTGTACTAAAGTCAGTAGAAAAATAGACTTGAGAAAGGGAGAGGGGAAGTACTCAAGCATCTGGTAATCTATCCATCTGTCCATCCATCCATCCATCCATCCATCCACATACCCACCCTACTGCTGGTTGGCTCAAATTTATTTAGGGTGAAATAACTGAGATGTTTAAAAATATATGAAATTTCAAAATGTTATGAAGTAAATTGTTTTGTTTAATTTACTCATTGAATTGGTTCTCTGTGGATAAAATACAGGTGCTTTAAAAGATGTGTTTCAAATAAGTTTAGATTACTGTACATTTTAAATTTTTTAATAATTAAAAATTATAATTAAGATATTGAAAATGTACTTGCAATCTTAATATAATGAATGAAAAACAATATTTTTCCTTATTAGCAGTTCTAGGAGTCATCAACCAAATAACTTTTTATGTAAAGTTGATTTCAAAAATTCCTTTTAAAACTCTAAAATCCTTTTCACTGTTCTGTGAATTTTCTAGAACAATGCCATGAACAGTAATTGTAGTTACTCAATAAATAATAGTTGAATAAGTTTGACTTATGCAGTATCTCTCAAATCTAGCATTTTTTAAATTCTCTTTTATGATTATAGGTAAGGCTAAGATTTCATCATTTCTGTCATCCCCACTTCTAGACACTCTCCTGTTTCAGCCTTTCTACACATTCTCTCCTGAGTAACCCTTAAAGCAGTACAAATCCTGTCATATCTCTGCTTGAAAACTTCTGATAGCTTACTGTTACCTGACAGATAAAGTCCAGATTCTACATTTGGACATATAGCAGATTTTCCAAGCTCATCTTTATTAATTCCCTTTTATTTATTTTTTTATTCGTTTGTTTGCTTGTTAATCATTAATTCCCTTTTAATAGCTCTTTATTATTTCTCAGTGTTCTTGACAAGCTGAATTGACTTGTTACCCTTATATTTCCTAAGTACATCTGTTTCTGCACCTCTGTTCTATTCTCTCCATTTGAGGTGTTTCACCCCTCTTTCTACCTTATACACTAGTTCTTTACATACTTGAGTTTGAATTACTTGAAAGTAGCGTTTAAGTTTGAATCTGTTTAATCTTCCATAGTACAGAGGACAGTACTTTGCACATAAGAGGAATACAGTTAAATATCTTCTTAATAGATAAATGGTTCAATGTTACTGTATTTATTGTATGCTGTATACTATAATTTAGTAGGTTATGCAAATTATGTAACATGAATAGCATGACATTGTATATTTATCTTCCTCAGGAAATTTGTTTGGGAAACCAGAAGGAGAAGATGCCTTTGCATTTTCTTTTCCATCAGATTCTTCAACTCATACATTTGTAGCTGGAAAAGATGATTTTAGTTTTCCATTTTCATTTGAACAAGATCAAAACTCAACACCTTCTTCTTCAAAAGATTTTTCATCCTCTTCACAGAATACAACACAATTTACTTTATTTTGAAACTAATTACTAATTTCTTGAATTATTTTACTGCGTTATAATCATCTAAGGCATAAATTTACATTATTAAAATATGAAGACTACTTTTGTTGATTAAAGCAATAATGGATTATCATAGTTATATTATTTGATTACATTTATTTAGATATTAAAGGAAGTTAAGCCTGTGTCATGTAATTTTGTTTTTATTAGCAGTATTAGCTATCATTATTTTGGTTTTGATTTCACAAGGCCTATTCAGGCAGAACTTTTATTAATAGAATTTGATGCTTTTTCCAATAATATTATTGTAAATAGTAAGCCTGTTTCTCTACAGAACCTAAGTTTCATTCTGGTAGTATTTTAGGTGTTTTTGATAAGAAGAAGAACTCCTTTAGGCCATCAGAAGATCTTTTAGCAGTAACTGTGCAGAATTAATGCTGAGGTGTACTTAGTACTTTAGCTACTAAAAAATGCTTTTAAAATTACTGTTTTTCACTTATGCTTTACTATTGCAATATGAAGAGTAATACCTTAATCTCAAAAAATTTATGTTATTCAGTAAATAAAATGTGTCATTTTCTTCCAGTACAACAAGGGGTAGAATTCTAATTTTATCAGTTATTCCAGTATCTTTAATGGAAAGAAATTAAATGTGTAAAGCTAATTTCTGAAAATTGGATTGTTGTATTAATGGTGATACTGTTAATATATGTTTTGCTTAAGCCTTTTTGAAGAACATTTAAAATTTTATTTCCTGTCTTCAACAAAAAATTCACCCTTATATTTTATATGCAGTATTTGCTTGTCAATAAGTTATGTAGCTTAAGTGAAGATACATAAAATTATGTGAAATTACATAAACATGTTGCTCAATATCTTTGTGTTTTGTGCTTTTTAAATTAGTTGTATTGAGTTACCAAGTAATAAAGAGTATGACTCCATATTTTGGTGTGTGACTACGGACAGACTTTAAGCCTCACCCTGTTTTTTCCCCCTTTTGTTCCATATCTGGTCAAGCTGATAAGAAAGCCCAGGTGGCACCAGTGGGAAGTTAAAACCATGTATAGGATCTCTTACCCTGGCCCTACCCCTACCTACCACAAAACCCAAAGTCTTTCTCTGTTCTCTCAATCCATTTTCAGATCAGCTTGGGAGGCCTTGCCTGCTATCCACAGAAAACATTATGTGTGAGTAATAAGCCTTTTAATACCCTACTGGAGTGTGTATGTTATCACCAACTTGAGTATCCAAACCAAATTTTGGTTTATCTTGCTGCTTATCTTACTTCAGAGTGTTTACAACATAGTACAATTTGTATTAAATTAAGCTTTCCCAGAGACTTTTAAAGTCAGAAGGATGATATAACTAATGCTAGAAAGAATTTAAGAGAACTTTGGACTTAAAAAAAAAAAACCTTTAATAATGGTTGAAAGATAAAAATTTCAATTAAAAAATTAGAGTTTTTCCTTTTATATTGAGCATTTTACTGACCCTATGATTGAATTAATTGGTAGTTTTGGTAAAATAAAAACATCGACTAAGAAAGATGTAATTGGTTTATTTGCTATTTATTAAGAGGTTCAAAACTGGTTTTAGCCTTGAGAAACTCAGTGATCCCATGATTTATTTTTACTTTAAATAAAGAAATGCCTATCACACCAGCATAGTTAGATTTACCATGTTATCAATAAAAGAGGTAAAGAAAAACACGTAGGTATTTTTAAAATATCTTCAGTTGTACATGGCATTTGAGGACATATAAAAGCTAAAAGACATAGTCTTATACTCAAGGAACTTATAATTTAGTTGAGGATACAAAACTTATAAAACAACAAAAAATTACAATAAAATGGCATATAATCAAATTCTATAGTTTATAACTTGCTCTGTGGTAGGGAAGAGATTGAGTGGTTTAAGAAGTAGAAAATAAAAGGAGGTCATTATAGAATGGAAAGCCTGGGAAGGATTCACTGACTAGGTAGAATTTGAATCGGGACTTTTAAGGTATGTGGATTATAATTGAATTTAAGGTTGATGCCTTTTTTAAGTTTTACATTTTTTATTGCCTAATTCTGGTGGCTAGTTTTAGTAGGATTTCATTGAATGCTTGTTGAATTAATAGAATTGAACTGAATTGGTAAAGGAGGCAGGGAGGGATTTCTAGATAAGGGGAACAATATCAGCAAAAGAAAAATGCAATCATAAATTTACTATGTGGAAGAAATTCAGAATAGGCTTAATTGGAGTAGAAAGTAAAAGGAAATTGAGTTTAATAAGTACGGTAGGATTGATTTATAGAGGATCTTCAAGTGTTTTGACTTGATTTCTGAGACTAATAAGGAACTTATATCCTAAATACCAGAGTTATAAGAGAAAAAGAATGGTTAAGAAAGATTAAACTCATGATACAGCCAGAGGAGAAATTATAGTTAAACTGTTAGGAGGCAATTGCACTAGTCCATGTACATGATGATAAGTTCCAAGTGATAACAACTGATTGTCCTGTGGTTTGATACTGCTGACATATAAAATTGGAAGAGTTTACCTTGTCTAAAAGAAATACATTTCCTTGAACACCATCTGTGTATAAAATCAAAGAAGAAAGGAACTAGAGCTATTTAATTGTGTTTGAATAACATAGGTCCTCTGGCTACTGGAGGCATGTGCAATATTTCTAATACGGATCACAAAATAAATGTGTATAATTAAATAGCCTTCTAAAGATAATTTTTAAAAGAGCAGTATTCCCCTAAAGATAGAAATCTACTACTGTCATCTCCAAAAATAGGAATTAGTCTCCATTCCTACTCAAGGTTTTAGAAATATGGAGGCCAGTCCTTTTCTTCTTTCTAATACAAGCACTTAAAGCTATAAAATTTTCTCTAAGCACTTTCTAGTTGCATCCCAGAAAATCTTATATATTTTTGTTTTCATTTACTTCAGATGTCTCTCTTAATTTCTTCTTTGACCAATGAATTATTCAGAAGTGCATTATGTAATTTCCAAATATTTGGAATTTATGTAAATATCTTATTTTTATGGGTATTTCATTTAATTCCATTGAGATTATTTAAAAGATTTCCATTCTTTTAAATTTGAGACTTCATGGACCCACATATAGTCTATCTTTGTAAATAAATTTTGTGTACATGAAAAAGAATGTGTATTTGACAGTTATTGGATATAGTGTAGTGGTCTACAAATATCAATTAGATCAAGGTGGTTTGTAGAGTTGTTCACATCATCTTTGCTTTCAATTGCTAAAAAAGGGCTATTAAAAACTTTTTGTCTATTTCTCCCTTTAATTTTGTCAAATTTTTAATATATTTTGAAACATTGTCATTAAATTTATATACATTATGATTGTTATATCTTCCTGATGAATTGACTCTTATCATTATGAACTCTATTCCTTTATCTCTACTAATACTCTTTCTTGAGTTCTATATTACTTGATATTAATAGAGCCCCTCCAGCCTTATTGTAGTTTTCATGATATACCTTTTTCATCCATCTATTTTAACTTGTTTGTATTTTTATATTTAAAATATATCTCTTGCAGATAGTATATGATGGGCTCTTTTAAATCCCTTCTAATAATCTTTGCACATACTCCCTTTAAAAGTCCCACATAACATTTTGGCCTTTGTCTCATTGGTCAGAATGAAGTTCTCACCTAGTTCTACCAAACTGCAAGGGAAACTGAGAAATGTGGGTTTTAGGTGAGCACATTATCCAGGGTTTTATTACTAAGGAAGAAGAGGAAACGATATTGAGAAGTAATTAGTTATATAATATGTGTTTTTTTCTTTAGGTAATAGTAAATTTTAGAACTTGATGACATACATTTTCCCATTCTTCCTATATTCCATAGTATTTTCCTGTATATATTTCTTTTTATGTTCATATACTTCCTCCAAGAGTATTTTCCAGATGGTCCTTGAACAGTAAAACTTCTGAAGCCTTTTAGGTATAGGAATATTTTTATTTTCATCTTTCATTTATTTTTTAAAATTAATTTTTCTAAAAGTAATATACTCACATGAACATACACACAAAGGTAAACAGTAGCAAGTCTCCTCACCCCTGTCTTCTCTGTTTCCTACCCCCTTTATATGTAAATATTGTTTTTTGTTTCTTCTAAAGTTTTTATGTATAACAAAATAAGAACATTCTTATTTTCCCTTTTTTTTAATACTTAAGGTACGATACATAATAAGATATTATATTGTACTTTTTCCGATACAAAATAACATATATTATATTGTACTTTTTCCCCCACTTAATCTATATTGAAGATCTTTGACTTTGCATTTGACTAGAAATAAATACTTTTAAGAGCTGTTTTTGAAACTAGGTATATAAGGGCGTAGAGGTAGAGGAAATATTCAGGGCCTGCTAACCTGCCTGTACTTCTCAACTACTTTCTAGATCCTGAGGTTTCCTTGCCATTTCATATCAACAACATGCCACCACCATCACCAGGGTGAGATAAAAGGGCATACCTAAAAACTCACAGTGCTAGCTCCACAAAATGGTATTTTATGTGTCAATTTGACTGGGCCACTAGTGCCCATTATTCTTGGTCTTTCTGTGAGAGTGAGTAAACCTGGATGATATAAACTGAGAAAAGCAGATTGGCTTCCCCCGTATGGGTGAGACTCATCTAATCTGTTGAAATCCTGAATACACTAAAAGGGCAGAGCAAAGGAGAATTAACTCTCTCTGTCTGTCTCTGGAGAACCCTGACCCTTGCTGATGCAGGTATTCAGCCCTAATGGTTTTTATATTACTTTGATAGATAGCTCACCCTTTTTCTAGCTTTTGGGGTGTCTTTATGTTTAGATTTTGAGGAGAGAGCCCATGTTTGTTTGCCATCTTTGTTTTATACTCTTGTTCAGTTTTTATTGGTTTTTTTTAAAGACAGCCTTTAAATATTATTGGAAAATCCATAATATTTTGGATAATTATATATGCTGCATTTAGTATCCCTGGTGTCCCACTTGCTAACTATTATT